CAATTTTGAGAAATTTACTGTTTTAGCTGCAAATGGTAATAATTCCTAAACTAATAAACATTGGAACAATAAATTCCACAAAAATAGTCCACTAAATCCTCTACATAATGAGCCATTAATTAGATTTTTCAAGTTATAAACAACACCCCGATAGGCTAATAAACATTTCTCAAGGTCAAATCAATATCTCCGAAAGTTGTAAAGATAAAATAATGAAAATTTATAGCAAAATATTATAAAATATTCACCTTCGGATGAAATAATAAGCGTTCCGAAATAATAACAATTACCATTGTTATTAACAATTTGAATATTATAAAAAATTGAAAAAAATATTTTATTGTCAGAATCGTATTTCTAGACCAAAAATAGGCTCAAAATGGAATTTTGTCAAAAATGTCAAGGAACAATGTCAATAGACAAAAATTGTCAATTACAGTACCATAAGGGTGCCAAAAGGAAACGTTTAGGACAATAGTGAAAATTAAACTCAAAATTCATTAAAAATGGAAAATCTACTGTCATGAAATATCAAAAATTATTAATCTTAGTCAAAAATGTAAAAAAATGTATTTTTAAAGACACATGTAAGGTGCCGTAGTGTTAGGGATGAGATATACGCAATGCATAGGGGTGCTGCGTTGGCGTGCTCCCCCACTAATTCAGCCAGCAAGGCGCTCCACTGAACGCGGCAACCCCAGTGCAGTCGAGGTACCTCCAGTCGCTACGAGAAACAGTTAAACGTCGACTCTTAAAACCGCCGGTCATAAGCTCCAAAGAGCTCCCGAGAATTAAATTAAAAGTAACCAGTTCGAACTTAGAAAAATTTTGGAGTTTGGACTTAGAAAAATTTCGTGTTCTGTCCTCTTGCACATAGTTTTTCAGTGTTCTGGCCTCTTGGACTTGAAATATTTTTTATGAAATTCTCCAAAGTACATCAGTGCAATTTTCAATGAGAACCGAAATAAATTCGTAGTCCGTCACTCCGAAACGTAATAAAATTCTAATTTTAAATCGAGCAAAACCGCGTGAATCCCGACGGGTTTGAACTGACCGTTTCTCTCACGCGAATTCTAATCGTTTTGAATAAATTCAACTTTATGTAAATTTGTACCGTGCAGAATCATTTACCCTAGCTAATCCCTCATCAGCCCCGTAAATTCGCGAATGGCTTGCTGACTCGTTCGAGGAGGCGAGTCATTTGCTAATTAGCGGTTGATCCACGTCGACCAGGATACTGCGGATGATTCACTGAGCTGGTTTAGGGATGACACTTCACTAACTCGGTGGAGCAACCCCGTGTTTCCAGGTTGACCATCAGCCCCGCGATTCCTAAGGTGGACTAACTGACCCTTAGGCTGTCTACCCCAGGAGATCGCGGTTGATATTCCCTTTTTTTGGAGACTTTAGTTCATTTGACTCAGAGGATCGCGCGGCTGACTGGGCGAGCTGTCACAATGTTCAGTGACCGTTCGATCCAGGCAACCCCGTAATCCTCCAGGTCAATAACCCTGATAATCGGTCCTAATAGTTATTTCCGGATACCTAACGGTGATAACGAAGGGAATTCCGAAAAGTCACTTATCAGGCCTCTTTAAATAAAATCGGTTATTCGGATAATTGGTCCTAGTAGTTATTTCGGGATACCTAACGGAGATAACGGAGGGAATTACAAAAGGTCACTTATCAGGCCTCTTTAAATAAAATCGGTTACTTGAAATTCAATAAATTCAGTTCACGCTCGTCCGCGAGATCCAAATAAATATCCAAAAATTAAATAAAATAACAGTCGTAATAATTCGTTCTCCCTTCTTTTTTTTTTATTTTGGAACATTACGTGAAGGTACAATTTTTAACCATCTAGTGATTTTTCCTCAAACATTAAGACAATTATATTGACAAAGGTCAAAGTGATCTTGGAGTGGACCTGAAGAGCAGTCCGTCCTTTCTTACTGAGCCGTCGTCGCCCGCCGGACAGCAGCTAGGCCAAACATCATCCTGGGCCAGGCCTTTTGATTTAATGTCAGAACATTGCTGAATCGTTAAGTCGGATCATTCAGGACAAAGGTAAGTCTAGTGAAGACGCCATGTGTTACTCTACCCCCGGAGGTCGGTTGATGCTCCAAAAACTAGAGTTCGTTTCTTTTAATTTGTTCGTTTTCGGGAAATTACAGAGGGCAATGAATTTCTCCTCCCTAACATCGGCAAGCTATGGATTTTCGGCTACCGCTGTTACGAATTCTCAATAGATCGGACAGAAAAATGGGGATTTAATTTTCCGACCGATGAATTTTTTCGATTCATTAAAGTGCACTGTCGCGGTACGAATTTTTCATTTTAGGGAAGCCTAACGTAAGCGAAATTCATTGAGCGGTAGCCGAAAATCACTAAGCTTGCTGAAACTAGGTTCACAAAATTCACACCCGTACTATCACACTTTCCGAATTTTCCGCGAGAACCGAACAATTTATTTTCAAAAGACTCTAATTTTTTTGGAGTATCAACCGACCTCCGGGGTAGAGAAAATAATGGTTGTTATCACTAGACTCACCCTTAATTTTTCCTGACCGGTCTGGCAACAAACAAGGAAGGTACACCGGATCAGTTGTAACCTCTCTGATAATAGAGGCGATCTGTGCCGTCGGAAACCTTCAGCTTTCCTCTGACAGGCTGGTTGACGTCCTTCTGCTACACACACGTTCAGTTCCTCTACTTTTATTATATTCACTTTCAAATTGCTGAATAAAACATTCCCATATAAATAAGTTATTCACGTAAATGTATTTATTTATTTATTTATTTTATTTTCGTTTTAGGATTTCGACGTCGAGTGCATCGTAAAAGACCCGAGCGATATTCTACCGAAAAAAAATTATTTTAAATTTATTTTATTTAAATTTTATTGGGATGAGAAATGGGTAGAAAATAATAAAAAAAAATTGAGAGAAATGTCAACCGCAAAATCTCAGGTCCAAGAAACCATCCGTAAGGGACGATTAGTTGACCCACGAGAAAGCGGGGTTGACGGGAAGCAACCACAAAGTCCTGAGGTTGACAGACCGTCCCTAAAGGACCAGTTAATCATCGTCCGGAGAGCGGGGTTGATTGTTAACCTGGGGAAACACGGGATTGCCTCGCCAGGATAACAACAGGAAAGCCTGTTGTTAGCCAAACCAGTCAACCGAAGTCTCCTCTAGTCAACGGATATCAACCGCAAGTTTTCAAGATCAACAGAGCGTCCCAAAAGGGCCAGTTAGTTGTCCTCGAAAACAACGGGGTTGATAGTCAACCCAGAAGAAGGGGGTTGCCTCACCAGGATATCATCAGGTAATCCTGACGTTAGCCCAGCTAGTCAGCTCTCTAGTCAACTAGTATCAACCGCAGGTTTGCGGAATTTATCCACAACCCAGCGGAGTTGATAGGATGGGGTAGGATGGGATTTGGTTTCAGGAGTGTGAGAAGGGTTGGCACTTATGCGAAACGAACGAGATCAATTTAATTCGTTTTTTATTTAAATTCGCGACCGAGCCTGCAGTCAGTACAATGCACCGTCGAAATCGGAACGGAATTATCGGTTTAGACGAAAAATATTTTTAATCCTGAATTGCGGACTGAAAATCTTCACTATAAAATTTATAAACGAAGTTAAATTTCAAAGTAAATTACAAAAAAAAATTTCAATTACGAAAAAATTTCAAAGTTCCGGAAAATTTCCAAGTCCAAGAGGACCGAACACGAAAAATTTCTATGTCCAAGAGGACAGATCACGAAAAAATTTCTATGTCCCAGAGGACAGAACACAAAAAATTTCTATGTCCAAGAGGACAAAGCGCGAGGAAAAATTCAAAGTCCACAATTCTCGAATTTTTTTCTAAGTCCGAACTGGTTACTTTTGATTTAATTTGCGAGAGCTCTTCGGAGCTTATGACCGGCGATTTCAAGAGTTGGCGTTGAACTGACTGTTTCTCGTAGCGACTGGAGGTACCTCGACTGCCGAGCGGCGAGCTGTGCACATGCGTCGAGCGGCGCAGTGGTGGGATGAGTGGGGTTGCCGCGTTCAGTGGAGCCTCTTGTTGGCTGAGTTAGTGGGGGAGCGCGTCGACGGGGCACCCCTATGCATTGCGTATATCTGATCCCCAACACTGCGGCACCGTACATGTTTCTTTAAAATACATTTTTTTTACATTTTTGACTTAGGTTAATTATTTTTGACAATTCTCGATAGTAGATTTTCCATTTTTAGAGAATTTTGAGTTTGATTTTCACTATGTCCTAAACGTTTCCTTTTGGCACCCTTATGGTACTGTAATTGACAATTTTTGTCTATTGACATTGTTTCTTGACATTTTTGACAAAATTCATTTTTGAGCCTATCTTTGGGCTGGAAATACAATTCCGATAATAAAATATTTTTTTCAAATTTTTATAATATTTCAATTGTTAATAACAATGTTATTTGTTAATTTAGACGAATGCCTCCTAGTGTTTCTGAAAGACCTTGATTTATCATACTTCCACACAAAATTTCAGATTTTTATCTCTTCAATCTTCGGAGATATTCACAATTAAAAATTTGACCTTGAAAACGTGTCTATTAGCTTTTTACGCCATGTTTTATAACTTTAAAAATCCAAATTACTGCTGGTTGTATTTAGAATTTGGTGAACTATTTTTCGGTGATTTTTGTTTTTGTATATGTATGTTTGTTTACAAGTTATTAGCGATTAAATGTTAAAAGTGTCTAATGACTTAATAGTTGACATTTTTTTATTCCAACTTTCCCGATATTTTCCTTCATATTCCTATTCTCTGTACTGAACTCAATTTATTTCATCTTTTTCCTGAATTTTCCATCATAATTTTATTGACATGTCAATAGGTAACAAAGTTGTCTTTTGACTTTTCGAGTATTTTCTTTCATAACTTTGTAGCTCTTGATTTATAGTAAATTTTTCTTCTCAAACTTTTTTCGATATTTCCCGTAGGAAAGTCTTGTAAAAATTCCAAAAGTTTAATCTATTACACGGATACACGTTTATGAATATTAAGGAAAATTTCGAATGGTTCCAGATTATGGATATTGAAAAGTTTCTTTTATGATTTTTACCAATGTTTCCGGTAGTTTTTGTCTTTTGTTTACAACAATTGAATTTGTTTATTGATTTTTGGTTGTTTTTAATGGCGGATCTGGTAGTCTGAATTTTATAGAGCAATTTTTGTCTCATGAATTTTTCTCCTTCTCTATTACAGGTGGCGCTACAAATTTTCAAAGTTCACGGGCACACGGATATAGGTGTGTTTGAGTGGCTGAGTGTAGATCTTCAAAAATTCATATCTTCGCTGCTTACAGAGATTAAGGAACGATTTTCGGTGGGTATCTTCATCTATATAGACCCTTTTTTTTTAGTCTGTTGACAGACAGTTTGTTCTATTTACGTTATAATTGTTTTTAAGAATAATTTTTTTTTTTTCATTTTTAAAGGAATTACATCGTTTCAAAACTCATGTATTCTTGTTTCTTCAGTTAATTTTCCTTAAATATTTAAGAAGACTTCCCTGTTTTGAGGGAAAACGTCACTCGTTGTCGTGGTTGCTAGCCTGCCTTAGCATTGCAGGTTAGTTCATCTATAATTATTAGTATTTGTGGGCTCCTTTTTGGTCCCGTCCTGTTTTTTATTAGTATATTAAGTATTAATTATTCAGATTGCTTAACCGGCAATGCCAAGGTGACAAATATTGTTCCGTCTTCCGTTAACAGTTTTGTTTTCTTCTTCTTTTTTGTTATTTGTATTTTTCATTTATTTCTCTTTTCTAACTTGAATACAGAGTTTTTAGCTTTGTTTCTTCTTTGATTTATTGTTTGTAATGTATATATTGTTTTTTTTTTCAAATATTCAATATTTCAATTTATTTTCATGTTTTTGCGGTCATTTTCCTATATTTGAACTTTTTCACTTCAAATGCTCATAACTCGTAAAATATTGATTTTACAGAAAAAAAAACTGCAACACTTTTATGTTTCTTTTTAGTCGATCTTTCAATTGAGATAATAAAATTTGTAAATTATTCAAATTTTGAAAGATTTATGTTCGAAATAATTTTATATTTCATTATATTTTCGAATATAAAATATTCGAATTATATTGTCCTTTGTTCATGATGGCGTTCATAATTTGAGAAACGTATGTCAATACGTAACACCGCTCGACGATTGTCACTGATTTCAGCTTCCCTGAAAAATTTAGAATACGTGCCCGAGTTATTAATGCAAAATAAAATGTTAATAACGCGATTAACTGTAAAAATTTTCCCCAATCCGTAACAGGCCCCTCGAAGTCATTGCGATTTGTGGTCCCATGACCACCCATTGTCGGAGGTGGTGCTTGGGATCTAGAAGTGCCTCTCCCCGGTGAGTTAGTTGGCGCTTCCAGGAGGACTGGATCTGGATAACCTTGGTTCCGATACTACGAACCGCTGGGATCTTGTGGAGTTTGGTTCAGATTCGGCGGGACCGAAGATCGAGGTACAGCTCCTGCGCCAAGCCCATTATTGGTTTGAGGTGAGCTTGAGTGCTGAGGAACCCCTGGGGGACGTGAGCTACGGCTCACATTCTCAAACATGGATGACATGTTGGTTGACGTGACAGTGGATGTAGTTGACGTGGGTTGCACTGAAGATCGTGCGACCCCTTGCTGAAGAATAGTGGGATCAACGCGTGAAATATCTTGCAACGGCTGTTGGAGCTCTTCATTCCGAACAGACTCTTGCCATGCGGCATTAGAACCCTCAAAATCGAATTCGTTGAGGTCGAGATCCCCCGATATAATCCCTTGATATAATCATCGGCGAGAAACCATGGGAATCCGTCGTCTTTCATACGAAATAACGCGCGAATTGCTCTGTCGACTAGCACGTCATACGACCCTATTGGGCTACCGCCGACGGATGGAAGGAAAGCGCGAAGACGCGTGATGTCCACCGAACGGATTTAAGGCGTCACTTTCGTGCGTTCACCTACGTTTATTAAATTTATTACTCGTCGGATTAACGATAAATTTGAGATTAACGCTAACAATCGAAGTGTACTAATGAAAGCACCCCTATAACCTAAATTACAATCCCCGGAGAGAATGGATCCGCCATAAACATTAATTTCTAGCCAGAACAAAACGAAAAAAAAAGAAACAGCTAAATTCCCCAAACAAAAAAAAATTAATATCGAGGACCAACTTACCAAAATGAAAACAAAAGAATTCAGTATTCAGTTCTCGAATACAATAACAAACAAATTGATTTTTTTGAAATCAACACAAAAAAAAATTTAATTAAATTCCTGGCAAAAGCAAATTCTTGCAGCAGAACTAATCTTTGAAGCAAAACAAAATTCAATTGAAAATAAAAAATTAAATTCGAAAAGCAAAATTTGAATTCAATTTTGGAAAAACCAAAAAAAAAATTCATTCTTCGAAAGAAACACAAATCAATTCCTGAGAAATGTGACATTATGAGTTTTACCCGGAGGTAAAACTCATGTGAATGGTAGTTCTTTTCCATCCAGCTATTACTGTCAGTGAGAGGAATCTCCTTTCCACTACACCTTTTCACGTATTCCTGCACTGTAATCCTTTTGTACGGTCACTTTGTGACGGCGATTTTTCTCCACGTAGACTAATATGAACGGATTGGATCCGAAACCTTAAACCCGTAGAAAATTCCAGACTGAACGGTAGCCGTAGTGTGTCACCTCTTCCACTTCGATGTTCCCTGAAGTTCTCGAAAACCGTAGAAATGATAGAAACGCCATAACCGGAAAACGAGAAGCCAGCTACTCTTTTGAGGAACTGGTGTCGGGCGCCGGTTGATTTTTGTTTCGGCGGTATCAACGAACCGTAGCCAAAGGGAACCAACAAGAAGAAAACTAGACTTAAAGATAACTAGGGAAAATCGAAGGGAGAGGTTGCGGAATTATTTCCACTAGCTCGGCGGAATTCGGAGAGCGGGGTAGGATCGGTCGCTCGGTCTTAGGTAAGGCGTCGCGCAACCCAAAGCAATATTCCAAAATTACTCAAAACCAGATCGGAAAATTAATTAAATCTGAGACACGTGGATTATGTTGAATTGTCTCGTGATTCATTTCATTTCTCAAAATCGATCCAAAATAAATAGAAATTCTAAATTTATTTACTACGATTTATTCCCGAGAGAGAGAGAGAGTAAACGAATGAACCCTGAGAGAGAGAAATATAGCGAGAACGGGGGAGAAAAACCTAAATGCGTATGATCTCTCGGCACAACCGGAAATGGCGTGCACGGGGATCTATACATGTACGAGAACCGCTAGCGACGAGGAATTAACGGGAAGACGAATATTCACTGAAGGAGAAAACTCGAGGAATGGAATAGGCACTCGCAAGGTGCTCTCAGTTCCCATTCTCGAATTCTCTCTCGACCAGGAGCCTCGTGGAGTCGCTTCAATTATAGGGAGCCAACGAGCTTCTATTCGACGAGAAATGGGTATTATGGAAATAAAAGATCAGGAAAAAATGCTACGGAACGAAAAGCACTCCCAAATGAGACGTCAATCCGGCCGAGCAATGAAAAGCATGCAAAACAGCACCACAGCTACATCCACACCACGTGGAGAGCATGCGTGCACGCATAACCCTATTTTATTTATGATTTCCCCACTTATCACTACACAATCACTTCCTAGGAATAGAGAGAGTATTTGTGAACCGATTATGTACTCCATGGGTGCACTTATCGTTCGACAAATACGGGGTTATCGGAGAGGGCATGATGCCGTCATTCGGTGATGCCGTAGCATGTGCATTCGCCTCCCATGGTCCTCCTACGGATTCTCGGGGAAAATGTGCACTACTGCCCTTCTGGGAGTGTGCACTTGGGGTCAGAAGGGTATTCTTACCATTCTTCTTCCAATCCAGGTTCCACGGGGAGTCCTCTCGGCGTCTTTCCCTTAGCTGCTCCAAAAGCGCGGCGACTTGGACGATGGCAAAACTGCGACTCACTTCAGCGTTCGACCGAGATTCTCGTGTGACGACGGGCGACTGAGGCGCCGTATAACCAGTCGCCGGAGAGTTACTTCTGCAGTCGGTGGGAACTCNCCACGGGGAGTCCTCTCGGCGTCTTTCCCTTAGCTGCTCCAAAAGCGCGGCGACTTGGACGATGGCGGAACTGCGACTGACTCCAGCGTTCGACCGAGATTCTCGTGTGACGACGGGCGACTGAGGCGCCGTATAACCAGTCGCCGGAGAGTTACTTCTGCAGTCGGTGGGAACTCGCGCGCGGGGACGTCAATCCCAATTTAAACTCCGAATATGGAGTCTTAAGATAATTTATAATTTTATGTGGCTGGCACTTTATCTCTTTTGACTGAAGATTGTTTGGAACTGAATTTTAACCGGAATTTAGTAAACGAAGNTCGCCGGAGAGTTACTTCTGCAGTCGGTGGGAACTCGCGCGCGGGGACGTCAATCCCAATTTAAACTCCGAATATGGAGTCTTAAGATAATTTATAATTTTATGTGGCTGGCACTTTATCTCTTTTGACTGAAGNAACTGAATTTTAACCGGAATTTACTAAACGAAACGAACGAAACTCGGATTGAGGGGAAAATATAGGCGGTTGTTCGCCTTTTATCAACGCGAATGCACTTTTCACTGAGTGAGTGCATATTTCGGCGCTGTCACTCTCCCGGGAGTTATTGGGGAATCACCTCTAACAAAACCGTAAATCTAAAATGGGCCACGGCAATCCATGCAGGCGAGAGGCCTAAATTCACCCACAGGGCCTTCCAACCGTACCAGTGAGTCCAATAACCCCACGCAAAGCGTAAGCTAGGGAGCGTGAGCATTTCAGCTCAACCTCGATGATCAGCAACTAACACTCAACGGAAATACGATATCTCACCGGGAGGCTCAGTCTATCGGCCACGATCCACGGTGGAGACTCGTTCCACTCAGAATTCGCGAAACTAACAAAATATCTATTAAACCGGTAAATACATTTGACTGTAAATTTACCTAAACCGTAATGACTCTAACCGTAATCCCTCAATCCGAAACTAAACTGGAAATTACCTCGAAACATGTAGAATTTAACTATTTGTTTTTAATTCAACTGAATATTTTATTTTTACTCGTTTTTATCGTGGATCGACACGTGAATTTACTGGTTTTAAAGAATCGAACGTTATTCTCCCGAGGATGTTGATGTCCGGATGTTCTGATGATCGATATCCAAGGCTCGAGCTAAAGATTAGGAATGTTGCATCTCCCTTCGACAGGGGTGCTAACCTTCAGGCGAGGGATTATGACGCGATTCTCTCTCTCTTGAAATTTATTTACTCACCCTCGTTACTCTCTCTCCTTACAATTTACTTGCTCCAAAGTTCGTAGTTTTCCGATCTTACGGTGAACTCTCGTACAGGTGGCGGAATTCTCAAAAATTCCGTCATAACTTAATTCTCAGCTAACTTCGGCGGTGAGTTCACGGGGGATTTGCTCATTCGTAGGGGTGTTAGTACAGGTATGAAGGGATATTACTTGGTGATGTTCTAAATAAACACTTGCGTATTTATCGGTAAAAGTATGGTATATTAATTGATGGTTTAAAATACACGACTGTTTTACTTATGGGTTGGTATACGCGTTATTAAGAGACTCGACTAAGTTCGACTTCGAGTCGATTTTGGCTGAAGGCATCAGCTAGAGGTCCGCTCGACTCTGCTCCTGATCGTACTCTGGTGCTTCCGGAGTCCTCAAAACTTGGCAAAGCCCCAGTTTGCTCAGCTGAGCAGCCTCACGGTTTTCTTCACTAACACTGTCTCGTATCATCACTGACAGAGACTCAACCAGTCAAACAGTTCATTATCCTGAACTGGACTCCTGAAAAACCGTGGGACTGCTTACCACGATGTCCAAATGACACCGTGAGATTGCTGACCTGTGGCTGGATGACAGGAAAGATAAATCATATTTCTCGCTCCCACCATCCAGCATTATAATATTAATTATATAATTACTAACTAAACCGACGAATTGATCGCTCTCACTACGTCACACTCACCTACTAAAACTATTGTTATGTCTAAAATACAATAGTAATTAAAAATATCAAGACTTCCTTCAAGTCGTCGCCTGACGGGCCTTCTTACGCCTGAAGGGCTATCAATTCCCGACCATAAGGGCTAAAAATCCCTGCTTTATGAGTAATAGGTAGATGCATGCAGTTACACTGCCTTAATTATTTCTTGTTGTAATTTAATCCTAACCCTATCGACCGAACCCTTACAATTTTAATTCTTGCTTATAATCTAAAATCATTTTGAGTGGTCCCATGACTCGATACATAACATGATTGAAAATTTTTTTATTCCTGGTCTTGGTCGTGGTCCTTCCTCTGCGCCTGGGTCGTGTGGCCTACCACCCTCCCAAGTCTCTCTGGGCTGAGATTCGGGGATCTGTCATTTGCTCCCCCTAATATGGTTCGACCATCTGCCAACCCTGGGGCACAGCAGCTATGGGCACAGGGCGTTG